ACTCAGAATTACAGCATCACAATCACATCATTATTATTACACCATAGACACAAAGACAAACAAGCATACCAAATCCTATAACTCTTTAGGTTTAGGTTAGTTTTAGGGTCAGGTAGGTACCTGTGAGGTTAGCCTTGGGGTTTGTGGTCAGGGTTAGGCTGTAGAAATGTAATGGAAGTCAATGGAATGTCCCCAATTAGATAGCTGTGCAAACTTGTGTGTGAGTGTGTGTGAATTGGAATAATTCAGTCCCCGTTCTGCAAAAAAGATGTGCTGTTCCTCATGGTCCACGCCTGGGCCCACTGGGCTTTGACCGTTTTTTAAATCCAGGACAGTTCTGTTTGTTCTGTTATTCGGGCGTTTTATAGTTTCACTTTAGTTGTTTTTCATTTTTAAAAAGACTATTAGTTAAAAATTGAACATGAACAAATAAATGTGCACCGTTACACAGATATATTCACTCTTAACTGATTCTTGTTGAATTTTACTTTAGGACAAGATGAGATGTTTCATCAACATAAAGCTATAAATTTACTTTGTGAGCTTGTTGAATTTGCACATGTCTGATGGAACGTCATCTTCGTGACCTACGACCTGGAGAAGTTGGTCTCTGTAGTGCTCGTAACAATGAAATTATTAATTCTGTATTTTCTTTGTTCCTGGGCACCTCTCTTTGTTCTCTCCTTGTTTCTGCTCTTCTCCTCAGCTGCCTCAGTAATTATCCACTCAGCTGTCGATGATCCAAATGTTGCGTCTGGTCTTCATGTCTTGTTTTCTCCAAAGGTTTTTCTGTTCCCAGATCCTTCAGCAAAAGTTTGCTTTGCTCAGCCTTAACTTAAATTTTGTGGGTTGACATAAGTATCTTTGTATCGTTTCTGCACACAAAGGAGTCATAACAGGAGATTATTTGGTGGAAGTCTTCAGGTCAGGATCATTTTATGTCTGCAGCAAACTATCTTCAACACGAAAAATGAAACGATTTCTTTAACGGTCTTGATTTGTTCTGTTAAAAGGATCTCTGGACTCAAACTGCTGCAGAAAGTGTTTTTGAAGCTTCAGATTTACATTTAAACACAGCTCTGCAGTTAAAACGTGCAGCAGCCCCTCCATGGCAGACAGTCTGTGTGCATTTCTCTGTGTATATATTTGCACTTGGTGACATTTGGGAATGTGTATCAGGTGTGTGAAACCAACCTCGAAGTTTGCGTACACACACACACACACACACACACACACACACACACACACACACAC